TGTATTAGAGATCAAGGTGACAAGAAGTAGGGTGTCAAGTATCTGGCTGCAGAGCCAGAGGTCGGGAGCTGCCAGCTTTCATTGCAAGATCTGGGATCCACAAGCTGGAAAAGGGGGGGACCCCTTCTTTACCCCTCCAACCAGATAAGATGTGATGTGACCATCCACCCTTATATCACTAACACATTCCCCAATAACATTATGACAAAGATTAATTACTGACAGTCAAAATCCAGTTATGAACAGCAATTCAACCGTATTGGTATTAATGGTGTGTATATAATAATTAACTCCAAGAAACTGCCCATCTCTGATACATTAAAGAAAGGGATGTGAAGGTGGTTGAAATGCAGAAGCAGACTAAGATGGGGTGTGCACACCAGGTAACTTGCTGTGTGTGTGTGTGCGTGCGTGCGTGCATGCGTTCACACTCACACATACACATTCGCTAGATGAGATGGAGTGAAAACTTCCTCACTCCTGTCTGCCTCCAAGGTGCCCCATCTTTTGTCTGGCCTTTGCCTGATTAGTTGATTGGTGGAAAATCTGGTAAAGTGGCCATGGTATCTTCTGGAAAACCTTAAGGCTGCCAGTGAAGGCACGGGCCACCATGATCCCCAGCCACTGGGCTGCAATGAGTCATTGGTGGTCTCTACCATATTCAGTAGCCCTGTTTGGGTGTTTGGACAAGGACCGCATGAGGAAAGGGAGAATCTGAACCCTGACTCTGCCTATTGCTCTCTTCTTTCAGAGGGTTACAGTCTGAAGAGGAAAGTTTTAGCTGCATATGGCCCCCACTCCATGTGATTAGGAATCCCAATTTTTTTCAGGGTCTCTGATTGCAGGAAGATGCTCTACATGTAGCAGATGTTTTCCTCCCCACACTGTTGCTGTCCACTCAAAAAATATGACAGGCAGGGCTAGGATTCTCCTTCACCACACTGTCAGATTTGTTGAATGTCCGAACAGAGCTAATCTCACTCCCCTTCCTCTCATTTTCATTCCAAACATGAAGAAATTTGGGATTTTGTAGTCTTATAAAAATAAATAGGAATGAAATTTCTCCCTCTTCTTTATCTGAAAGGAAAGCAGCAGAGGCTGGGTCTTCTCTCTTGATCTGCTGCTTGAGTCCATTTGGCAAGGCTGCCATTATTCTTACTTCACTTTTTAAAAATCTCAGCATATACTGTTATCAAAATTCTAGAGGCCTAACAGATACTCAGAGTTCAGCTGAAAACTGAACATATTCAAAATTCAGATTTCATGGAGTGCAGCCCACATTTTCAGATGGAAGTGACCTGTGGTCTACAAAAGTTTATACCAAGTCAAATTACTTATGGTTGTTGTGGGGTTTTGGGGCTCTTAGGCCGTGTTCTGAAGGTTGTTTTTCCTAACGTTTCACCAGTCTCTGTGGCCAGCATCTTCAGAGGACAGGAGTAGCACTCTGTGCTCTGGTGCAGTTTATCTGGGAGTTGAGTATTTATCGCTGTGAGATCAGCTTTTGTCCTTTTCAGGAGATGGGCGATGATGGTGATCAGTGTCTTTTTGTTGTGGGTGTATTGTTGTGATAAGGAGAGATTATCTGTCACTGTGATTGATGGGTGTCGTTAGCTGGTCTTTTGTGTGTAGTGATCACCGGTCCTTGTGGCTGGGAAAAACCCACAACCACCATTAGATCCTGGCCATGAAAGCCTTCGTGAATACATTGAAATTTCTTAGTGTTGTAAGCTACCGCAAGACTCCTTATTGTCTTTGCTCCAACAGACTATAGACAAATGAACTTCATCCAGAATATACCATCTTTGTCATATAATCGCAGTATTGCTTAGACTTTCCTTTGGTGCTTTGTTAAAACAGTATGTTGAAGGGGACAGAAAGATCTCCCTGAAAATCCCTTAAATTTGCAAATGTGTCCCTCCTACTCCCTTTTTTGGAAAATCAGTCATCTATCATTATTTACTCTGTTTCTTGTCCTGCCTGCCTTATCTTTCTCCTGGTCACACCACATTTTTCATTTCAAAAATGAACCTAGGCGATCACAAATATTTATGGAGAATTTAGGGGGAAATATATGCATTTTTTTGGAGATGCACTGCCCTTTTCCCAGCAATTCAAAACTGCTGATGAATCAGCAGGGGTATCTAAACTGATATTTGATCCACTGCAAGGAAATTTAACTTTGATTCAGACCTCTTCTTGACTCCGTACAATTTATTTGGTTTGGCTCCAGATTCAATATCTGGATGCCCTCAAGTTACACCTGTACTACTATTTATTAATGTTTAAAGTTATTTTAAGTATAGTGGGTGGAGGGAAGAACCACAAAGGAAGAGCAGAATACTTTGGCAGAATAAAAATGCTGTAAAGGGAGAAGAACTGTCTCCTCATAGGGTTCCCAAAGGATTAAATATTCAGAAGGGGTTAACCATTGCCACCTTCTGCATAGTACTAGTAAAAGTTAGCTTGAATATCGTTCTGCATTAAAAATCCTCCACTACTTCCATTACTGCTGCTCTTCAGTAGCTATCCTTCAGGAATTTCTCTGCCTCCATCATCATTGGAATCAGCCATTCTCTTCAGCTGATGTGGCCATTAATCCTGAATGCATCTTAGCCTGGTGTCTAAGCTTTGACCACTCTGCTTTGGGTGACTGCTAGGAGTCCAGACCTGGAATGGAGTCTAGCATTGTCCTCAGCTTCCCTGATGCACTCAAACTGTTTCACCTTGTTAAGTTGTATATCTAAGAGCATGAGAAAGCTGGATAATGAAGAAAGCTCAAAGGAAAAAAATATTGATATGCTATTGGCAGAGAACTTTACAGATATTGTAAGATACAGAAAAAGAAATATGTGGGTCCTATATCAAATTCATTCTCTAGAAGCAAAAATAATTGAACTGAGGCTATTGTACATTGAACACATCATGAGAAAACAAGACTCACTGGAAAAGACAATAACCCTGGGAAAAGTTGAAGGCAACAAGAAGATCAGCTAAGTGATGGAGTCAAGAAACGAAGTTATCACATTGAGTTTATATGTACGAGCGGTACCTTTTTCTGCTAATTCACTGGGTTGCCATAAGCTGGAAGTGGGTTGCTAGCACAGAACAGCACCAACTAAGGAAGAATACATTCAAATTATGGTCTGCACGTGTGTAATTCAATCTTTGTATTGTTTACTAGAACAGATTATGTTTCAAACCAAGGAGAGATGTGTGTGTGTGTGACCTGTGAAAGAAGATACTGATCAGCTGAAGAACAAGGCAGGCAACTTTTTATGCTATGTCCAGCTTAGTCTCTGCCATCTCCAATTTCTGTATGAAGACTCATGGTTGGCTTTCTGTTATTTATTTGAAACGAAACATGGAGCTTTCCCTTTAAAAGAGTAGAGGAAGTGCAGACCTTTGTCTCCAGCCTCAGGGATCACATAATTGGCTCCCCGGTACAAATGTAGTGAGCTCAGTGGCCTGATAATGATTATAAATGACAGAGACTATCAGATTTACCTTGGGACATCTCTAGGGAGTTTGCAGTTAGTTTAGTCTGAACTCTGCATCAGCTGCTTGGGTTCCTTTCTTCTCAGTATGCGGTGGCTGGGCTCAAACTGCAGTCTTTCAAATCTAATTAGTGTTAAGGGAAAGGGGAAAACCCAACTCTCTTTTCCTTTCACCCTGATCTGTTTTCTGAAACAAGGCAAGAGCACTAGTCAAGGTACACGCACATTATGCCTTTCTAGTAATTTGGTCTCCCATAAAGATCTTTGGCTGTACTTCAGATTTAAATAAGGATCTGAATTCTGCTGCAGTTCCCCAAATCTCACTTGCATTTCTACCCCATCCTTTGTTGGTATCAGGTTGCAAAGCAGTGTTTTGTTCCTTCGCGGGAATCTGCACAGATTTCATGCCAATTTTTCCTCATGTACCATTTTTAGATGCAGTTGTTGGATGGTCACACACATTTTTCAACTGATCAAACTGTAAAAAGGTAAAGGTTCCCCTTGACAATTTTTGTCCAGTCGTGTTCGACTCTAGGGGGCGGTGCTCATCCCCGTTTCCAAGCCATAGAGCCAGCGTTTTGTCCGAAGACAATCTTCCGTGGTCACATGGCCAGTGCGACTTAGACACGGAACGCTGTTACCTTCCCACTAAGGTGGTCCCTATTGATCTACTTGCATTTGCATGCTTTCGAACCGCTAGGTTGGCGGGAGCTGGGACAAGCAACGGGAGCTCACTCCGTCGTGTGGATTCGATCTTACGACTGCTTGGTCTTCTGACCCTGCAGCACAGGCTTCTGCGGTTTAGCCCACAGCGCCACCACGTCCCTCTGTGATCAAACTGTAGCTGTGTGTATTTTCGACTGTATACATTTTAAGCCATTTGAGCATTTCCAAATGTAAACCTGGTTTAGTGTAGATTTTATTTCTCCAAAACACCACCAAGCTTCCGAGCGGGCAAATTTCTGAGGCTGGATCTCCTCCTTGTCTCACAGTAAATCACGAAAGATTCCAAACTGATACATCCTCTAGACTTTTGACTGCAACAAAATTCTTTTCCATCCTTAGATTCAAGTCTTTAGATGTCAATAAAAAATGCTACAGTGACAAGAAACAAATAGGGTCCTTCACCATGATCTGTGATTAAACTGAATACCTCTAGGCATATACATTTTGATTTGGCCCATCCATCCACCCTTACTTTAGCCAGTATACATATTTGCTCCTTCTTGGGGATGGGGGCAAGTCTCTGAAGGATTTTGAATATTTTTTGTGATTTTTTTTTTAAAAATGTGCACATTACTATAAAACTGTGTCTTTTTGAGATAGTTTAAATCAGCAAGAAAAAAAGAATATAGGGACTATTCTTTAGATTTCCACACAGCATACTAGTGGTCTTTTTGTACAGTGGCATTACTCCATAGTATCCCAGGGACAAACGGGGGTGGGGACCCAAAACAAAACAGCATACAAACTTAATAAAGAATAAATTCTTTACTTCTTGTGAGATTGTAGGGATTTTATGGTAAAATCACTTTATCTTTCTTCTTTGAGACACCCTTTCGTTTGACCTTTGGGAAAGACTTTACCATATTTGTCAGGTCATTTGCTGAAAGGCTGAATGGAACAAGACAAAATAACTGATCAGTAGCGAGAATCTCAAAATTAGTGGGCGGCCGAACAATCACATACCTGTAGGGAGGGAAAGTCAACAGCATCAAAATAGGAGAATATAATCATTGTGAAGATTCACTAAAACCTGGTGTGGCCTTTAGTATGGCAAAGACCTAAACTCTTATGAAAAAAAGAAGAAAGGCAGGGGCTGCTCCGAAATGACTTACAGTAATTCAGTCAACAAATGCAGGCAACTATATTGATCAATATAAAGAAATCAGTTCTAGTAGTTTTCATCTCCTTAGTGATCAGGTCTTTTGCAAACTTAAATCACTTGTTGAAGACCAAGCTACCCCCACCTATTTTGTACAAAAAGTTCATAAGCTTTTGGTGTTTTGGGGAATTTTTCTTTCTTTCCAGAGATAATACGGATTGCAGCTAGGCATAGATAGGACAAGGAAGTCATACAAGAATGGTAGGTAACATTGTTAGTTTTGTTAATCAAAGTTTTTACATGCTCCAACCTTATGTATGCTGGCTTGTCTACACCATTGGCTGTTATTTCGATACATGACATATCCAGGTTGGTCTGGGATACAATTCTGACTGGAAAGCTGAAGACTCACTGTCAGCCAGAGTAGAATATGGGCCATCAACCAATGGCTTTTCAGATGTTATTTGACTGCCACACACAACAACCCTAGACAACATTGCCATTGAGAAGAACCACTAAAAGGGAGATGGTCACAAAGTGTATCAAACCCTACATACCATATCTTATTCCCAACCACTGAATCCACTGATACCTTATTAAAGAATCCATAATAATTGGACATTCATCAAAAAGAAATGTAAACTCATCATTCAAAATGACAATAATTTAGAGATTATAACTCTCTTTTTTTTTTGTTGGCAGACTTTGGCATTTTGCAGTGCATAAGAAAAATTAATATTATCAAACTTCTCTGTTTAGCAGATATTGTAATCAAAAATAATGTTTGCTTTAAAATCGATCCTTAAAAGCAAGATTGTCTAGACCAAAGTTTGCTTTTGCTTTGTTTTCTTTTGAGAACGTTGGAAGAAACATAAACAAAGCTCTTAAGAGAGGAACAGGGGAAAAAACCCTCAGTGTTTTCATTTAATGGCTGTGAGTAGAGATGGGCACAAATAATTAAAATGACAATTAATTTTGAATCATGATTCATCAAGGTTGACAAATCACAAATAACGAATTTATGGTTTTTTTCTGATGAAATGACAAATCAATTTGCAGATTCATTTTTGTCTTTAAAACCCGATAAAATGACTCTCCAAGCACTTACAGTCACTAAAATCACAAGAAAGCTTCCATTGACTCTCCTCTACTATTCTTGCACGTTTGGTGAAATTGGTGTTTTTGATGTCCAAGTTATACACCCATAAAGAGGGCCTTCCCAAGAAAATTCTCTCCAGGCACCTAGAGACACCAAAATCATGAGGAAGTTTCCCCTGGCTCTCCTCTACAGTTCCTCCAAGTTTGGTAAAGATTGGGTTTCCTCAAGCCAGCTGCTAAAGGGCACTTTCCTGGGGGGACCCCTTTGTGGGTGTATAACCCAGGTGCCTGGAACCTTATATTCACCAACGGAAGGATTGTAAAGGAGAGTCAGTGATCTGGAGCAAAATTTTGTGGAGCAGCAATGGAACAGCATTCCCTTATAGTTTCCTGAGTTCACAGTTTGACTGGTTTTAGCATAAGGGTGGTTTATTGTTGAGCATAGAGAAATGTTGTGGTCCCAATCGAAGGGACAATGGCTCAAAGGATAGCTATAAACATGCTGTATTTTATTCTCCCCAGATTTTACAACCAGTAAAAATTAATTATTTGGTGTACACTTTTAAAATTAAATTTTGTATATTTTAACCATATACAGTGGTGCTTTGCAAGACAAATTTAATTCGTTCCGCGGTTAATGGTGTCTTGCGAAAAATTCAACTTGCGAACCGCGTTTTCCCATAGGAATGCATTGAAATCTAATTAATGCATTCCTATGGGCAAAAAAAGTCGGAACAAAGTCAAATTTGGTTTACAAAGGGTTTATTAAGTGCTCTTTAAAGCCATACATATTGTGCAGATGATTTTAAAAAATTCAATAAAAACCTTTAACTTTTTAAACATCATAGAAAATAATTAAAAAATCAGCAAACATGAGGCAGGGACAAAAAAATGGAAAACATTCATCTTGCGAAGCGCAGCCATAGGAACATTTGTCTTGCGAGTTTTTTTGTCCTGCGAGGCATTTGTCTTGTGAGGCATCACTGTAATATGGTTTATGTATTGGCTGTATACTTTTCGAATTGCATTTTATATATCTTAACCCCATAATATGTTTTATGAACTGACTGTACATTTTTCAACTGCATTTTGTATATTTTAGCCACATAATATGTTTTATGAATTATTTGTATATTTTAACTGCATTTTGTATATTTAAGCCATAAATGATTTAAGAGCTGGTCACCTGACCGTAATAAATAAATTCATTCATTCAAGGAGAGTCAGTAGAAGTTTCCCTGCAATTTCAGTATCTCTAGGTGTCTGGGGTGGTGTTTTATAGCCCAACAAATTGATGAATCAAAAATCATTAAATTAATTGATTTGTATTCTTCAGGGGCATTGATTTGTATGACTATCATACAAATCATACATATGAGTATTCACTTTTTGAATGAATTTGGTCATCCATCTTTTAATTCATGCCCATCTCCTTTTATGACCAGTTGGCCAGAATAATTGCAAATGTATATATTTTAGTAATGTTCCTCACAAACATTTCTTAATAGTATAAATATCTGCTGGTAGAAATAATAAATATATTCAACCTCAGCTATTGACTGAAGTAAATAATATTAATGAAGGCTCCTTCAGATAGAGCAAGGAGGAAAATACCACCAGACATTAGAAATTGCTTGCTGGCTTGGCATAATTGGTCGATATTTTAATTGCTTAGGATTATTGACTATATTCTTTTATAAGTTAAATTATTTTATATTTTAAAATGTGGCTAAAATATTTTAATTTATTCATTTTTGGCATAGTGAGAAGTTCTTACATTCTTATATATATATATATATAACACATTCTTTTATATATATATAACACATTCTTACATTCTTATATATATATAGTATTCTAAAAATTGCCATCAGGACCCACAGTTGATATTATTTCAATTAAAAATCTTCTGGAACAGGAAGGTTTTGACCTGGCACCAGAACATCATCAATGTTGGCGCCAGACAAATCTCACTTGGGATGGCATTCTATAATGTGGGGCAGGCTGCCAAAAAGGCCCTTTGTCTACAAGCCATCCCCCTTACCTTCTTGAGGGATGGCTCTTTTAGGAGGGTCCCCTGGCTAGATTTTAAGTGCCGGGTAGGTTCATATGGAATTCTTGTATTCATTCTTTCTGTATAATGAAAATATAAGTTCTCAAAAACTGAGATAACATGTTAAATCTTACATTGGCTGTTCCACTACTCATTTTTCTACTCAGAAGTGGGAGAATAAAAAGACTATGGGAACAGAGAGAATGATTTCAACAGGAGTGTTATATAAAGTTCAACAGAAGTGTTACACAGTGGTGCCTCACTTAACGATGATAATCCGTTCCAGGAAAATCGCTGTTAAGCGAAAACATCGTAAAGCAAAATTAAAAAGCCCACTGAAATGCATTGAAAACCATTCAATGCAGTCCAATGGGCTGAAAACTCACTGTCCAGCGAAGATCCTCCATACGGTGGCCATTTTTGGTGCCTCTATGGCGAGGAATCCATCCCTAAGCATAGCAGGGAGCCATTTTAAGCACCCAGTGGCCATTTTGAAAACCCAACGATCAGCTGTTTTTTATCCTTATAAAATGAAAATCGGTTCCCAAATCAGGGAACTGATCATTGCTAAGCAAAATTCCCCCATTTAGACCATCGTTTTGTGATCGCAATTGCAATCGCAAAAACATCATCGTAAAGTGGATTCGTCTTAATGCGGGGTAATTGTTAAGTGGGGCACGACTGTATAACTCAATTTCCTGTCAAGATTTGGGGTGGAACATTTATTCAAATCTATCCTGAAGACTTCCATTTTAAACTGCTATGCAAACAAAAACTCTTATTTAAGGTGAGGAATGTTGGGCCAGTCTACAGGCTTTTTCTGCTCACTCAGAGTCTACATGTCACCACGCTCTGTGTGGGAGCTCAGGTATAGATAAAATGTTGGTACTTGGTGAGTCAACATTCAAATAAACCATTGGTTCAATTGATCTACCAACTGAATTCTTGCATTAGATTTTCAGCTCAAAACCAATACAAAACCTACCTCATACTGAAATTTCAAAACAATCCATTTTTTGAATATGCACCATATACATATCTGTCTCCAATGATAAGGATGGGTAGTATTCAACTCAAGGCATACAACTCCAACTATGGAATCTGCTGTGATGATCTCATGAGGTGATAGGTTATGCACAATTGGAACCTTGTGAGATAGCTGTGGTAGTTTTAGTAGTTGCAGCTCCATGCACACATAAATATTGAACTGGATGCTGGCTGCCAAAAACAAACTGGAATTCACTGTGACAATAAGTGACAATGGCTATTGGCTGAGATGGTTTAAATTTAAAAGAAGAGAAAGCAGGAAGAGCAATGAATGTCATGTGATGGAGAAATGTTTAATCCTATTTGTGGGTATCTATGTTCCTATGAATTAATTATCTTAACTTTAAAAAATAAATAAATGCAGATTGTGGTATCTGGTCCAAAATGATCAATGCCAAAGTTTTTGCTTTAAATGAACCAGTCAAATGGCTGTATCTGTGAGGAATTTTCAATTGAACTATACTTTCCTATATTCATATAGATTGGATTCTTCCTTCAAACGGTAGAGACCAAGGCATAGGATTCCATACACGTCCAGTGCTCTAGAGAAGACATCTCCAAAGTAAAGCTGCAAAGAGAAGAGAGAGAGGGAAAGATAAAGGAAAACATTGACTCCGTATTAATATTCCATGATAAAATGAATAGCATAAAGCAGTTCTTTGCATCAGATTAAGGTGTTAGGTAATACATCACGTATTTGCTCTTCTGGAAAGGCTGGTTCCAAGCAGGTGTGGTGGTCTGTTTCAAATGTTGAAGACAAAGAAACAGAAACCGATTATAAAGTACAGTGGTGCCTTGCTTGACGAGGATAATCAGTTCCAGCCAAATCGCTGAAGAGCAAATTCCTCGTCAAGTGAAATAAAAAAGTCCCTTGAAATCCATTGAAAAACGGTTCAATGCATTCCAATGGGCTAAATACCTCAGCGTCCAGCGAAGATCCTCCATAGGGCAGCCATTTTCGGGTGCCTGTAAAGTGAAAAATCCGTCCTAAAGCACAGTGGGGAGCCATTTCACACAGCGGGCGGCCATTTTGAAACCCAACGATCAGCTGTTTTGATCGTCGTAATGTGAAGAATCGGTTCCCGAAGCAGGGAACCGATCGTCGGGAAGTGAAAAAAGCCCTTTAAAACATCGTTTTGCAAAAGCGATCACAAAAACCTCATCATCAAGCAGATTCATTGTTTAACGAGGTAATCGTTAAGCGAGGCACCACTGTACAGGGACAGTGAAGAATGCTTGGAAAAAATGTAAGATATTTGCTTGCCCAGGAAGCGAAGGGGAAACCTGTGTGGCAAGAGGGATGAGCAAGAACTGATAACTGATTTGATAACCTAGAAGCCACTCCTTTCTTTCGTTATAGCATCAGGTAGAAAACAGTCACATAGGGTTTGCTGTTCAGGCCAGGAGAGGACACATCAAGGAGGCTGATTTATCTGGACCTGTTTGCAAGAGTACAGGTTTCTCTAGTTATAGGCAACAGTGGTGCCCCGCATAGCGACAATAATCCATTCCGGATAAATCAAATCACACAGCAGGCAGCCATTTTGGAACCGCCGATCAGCTGTGCAAAAATGGGGCCTTCCGAAGCCACCGCCGGCATTTTTGCCCAGCTGAGCAGCGGTGGCTTCGGAAGGACCGTGGGGGAACCCTCCCCCACGGTCCTTGCAAAGCCACCGCCAGCATTTTCGCCCAGCTGAGCGGCAGTGGCTTCAGAAGGACCATGGGGGAGGGTTCCCCCGCGGTCTTTCGGAAGCTCCCGCCGCTCAGCTGGGCAAAAATGCCGGCGGTGGCTTTGCAAGGACCGCGCGGGAGGGCTCCCCCGCGGTCCTTCCCAAGCCCCCGCCAGTCAGCTGGGGGAAAATGGGGCTATAGGCAACATCGCATTGCGATCGCAAAAAAGCCACAGCTATGCGGATTCGTCGTTAAACGGGGCACCCATTAAGTGAGGCACCACTGTACAGGCCTTTCAGTGGTTTTCCTAACAGAGAATGGAGGGGTATGTGCAGAGATACTCCACACTACAGACTGAAGAGCCAACCTGACAAGCCTCCCATCAGCTGGTTATGGGCCCAGACATACATACCGGCTATCCACTCACCCACCCATTGCATGGGGGATGCACACATCACCTGCCTGCCTATAATAGCCCAGGTAGGAGAATGACATATTTTGCTACAGTGTCATACCATCTCCCACTTCCCTTGGAAAGACTGTCTGACCCACACAGACCTCTCAGTAATTTGGTTTTCAGAGGATGGAGGGATGCATGCATTCAGAGACTTACAAGGAGGTTCTTGGCTAGTGTGGTGCTGATGGAGAACTGAATATAGAGGCTAGGCCTTTCAGCAGCTTTCCTTGCATAAGATGGAGGAATGCATGCAGAGATCAAAAGGTAAATGAAGGGCAGGATCCTGCTCCCAATCACTTCCACTGCATGCTCAGGAGGGTACTTCTTCTCATTCTTCCAACCCAACTCAACACAATGAATCTATTTATTGGGTACTGTGGAAGAGGCTGAATGGTGCAGGAAGGCATGTCATTCTGTCTTTGCACAGAATATAAGGAAGGATGTGTGAAGAGGGACTTGGGAATCTTGCAAATACAGCATCTAGGGAATTGTGCAGAGCATAGAATTCTGAAATGTTCACACTCTCAGAATAGGAGTCAGCCTAGAATGACTACCCTGACAATACCCACTGGCTAAAGGAAACAGAAGAGAGTGATGGGCCAAGTACCTTCTAAAGAATGGAGGAAGGAGGAGGGAAACTGGTAGTGGGGAAGAATGAACTTGTGTAAGACACAGTTAGGCTTAGCATGACTCCTTTGATCTCAAATATGCAAGGTTCAACGATGCATAGAAAACATGCAAGATGATCTCAGAGGCTTGTAATTCATAGGATTTTTTTCTCCTCCACATTTTGAAGTCTAAAGATTTTCTTCCACCACTGTGATCTATTTACTATCATCTCCTCCACCTTCCAATTTGTAGTATATTGCCTTCCAGGGGTTTAGCCTATGCTACAACAGCAAAATATACTATGGAGATACCCTATATGGGGCTTTTGCTAGCAGAAGTCACTCCTCTCCTCTTTGTGATTTTTCACAAACCTCTGGTCAGCACTGCAGCAAGGAACATAACAATGAACTAGAGTGATTTTTGCTATTATTCATGGTTGCAAAATAGCAGATCTTACATGTCCTTTGCACAACACAGTCTTATTTGAAACATTTCTGGGGGGATAATAGTACACGTCACCACACAGAGGATGTTAAGAGCTTCAGGTACTGCAACTACAACAGAAGAGCAAGGAGAGAAATGCTGGATAGATGCAGGAGAAGGTAAGTGAGCATGCAGGCAGACTGACTGTCAAAATTCTAGCAAGTGGATGGGCAGACAGAACAGAAAATGGGTCACAAACATAGCACTGGTTCTTGTCCTTTAATTTAATAGTGGCCTGGCATTTCAGGCATAAACAACTGTGATAACAGCAAATGTGCTGGCAGAATGAGTGTCAAGAGAGGAGACCAAAGTTGATATGTGAGCGGGCAGGCTGGTTAATAGACATGTTGGCAAAGAAACCAAAGAAAGGCTGGCAAAGAAGAAGACAGGCTGAAATTGGTTTGAAGGGAATACCATTTTGGAGACTCTATATGCCTGACCACCAGCAGAAAGAGGTATGTGAACTTGGTTGGATGTAAATGTATTGCCCAAGGACCTCCCAGAATTTGGTGCCAGCTCTGACATTAGAGAGAGACTCTAGATTATTAACAGAGAATCTAGTTTGCATGCAGAGGGTCCCGGGTCAATCCAGTATGTCCATTCAGTTTCACAGATTCCTGCCTGAAATGCAGAAAGCCACTGCCATTTAGTGCTGCCAACACAGGATTGCATGAACCAATGGCCCAACCCAATATCAGGCAATTTCCTATGCTCCACATGACCTTGACAGAGTATCACCCTTTCAAAGCAGCTCACAATTACAATTTCATTCTGGGCATACGTTTACTTGTAGCCATCTTGTCCCATCAGCCATCCTGACATGAGTACTGGTTTTTTCCCCAATGGTTCTTCCTAAATTAAGCCCTCAGTGTGAATATGCAGTTGGTTAATTAGGAATACAATCCATTTAGCTTACTTTGCATGTGCTGATAATGATCCAGTTGTGTTCCTCTGCTAATGAAACGGCTCCTTCCAGTGGAGCTAAGCAGGGCATGACCCCCTCCTCTCCCTATACGTTCTGTTGCACACACTCAAAAATCTGTCCCTGAGCGATGAATAAACTTTTAGAACAGATTCTCAGATAGTGCAGAAGATTCAAAAAACTGGGAAACAAGTCTCCAAGTGCAAAATTGGAATTCACCACTGGAATTCACTATTCAATGATACCCAAACATGATGGCTTAAAGTGAATCAGCTGGCACCTAAGACAACTCACCATTAAATCTTCATCTGGAAATGGAGTGTTTGATATTGTGACAAGAGCCAGCTTACATCTGTTCCTCGGTAGAACGGCTGTCACATTGGTGGTACTGCCACTTAGTGACGTCTCTTCGGCCAGATACTCTTCCAGTTCAGGGCTGGTTCCTCCAGTCACCAGGGCCTGGAGCAAAGCCAGGACATGATAGTTATGGTAGGTCTGTAGTGGGAAAGGAACAGAGGACAGATGGGGAAAGGCAATACATTATGTTCTCACTGATGAAAGAAAGGGTTGCACACCTCTGTTGAATCAGAACAAAGCTGTTAGGCCAGAAGGAGAAATATTCTGGGGGCTACAAAGAGCACAGTTCTCATTCTGGGAGTTTCTGCCTACCTTGCAGACAATTTACAAACATCTCAGTGTGGTGCCTTTGTGAGAAAGGCCTAAATTAGAAAGATCTGAACCTTAGCTAGGCAGAGCTCTTCCCAAACTTGCTGCTCAGAAAGAAGGCAGCTAGCTAGAGCTGGGGCAGAAAGCTTGGGTGGAGCTCAGCCTAGCTAAGCTTCAAGCTTTCAGATTTAGAGGTTTCTTTCAGGTGTATCACAGTTAAGTGTCTGTAAGGTTGGCAGAGCTTGCAGAAGGAAGAATTACAGTATTTGTAGTAAAATTTAAAAAACAAACCAAAAAACCCCTCATCCTTATGTTAATTAATGTACCTGGTTTTTGTAGAATCCATACACATTTGAAAGGAAACAGTTGTTCATATTTAGGGCCTAGAAAGAGGCTTAGCAAAGCCTAAGGTGCCTGTGACAAATTTTGAATAACAGAAGATATTATCCAGGCACAATTTGACCAATTTGACTATTAGAATATTTCAGATATTGTATTTATTAGCTCCTGCCAACCTAGCAGTTCGAAAGCATATAAATGTGAGTACAGTGGTGCCCCGCTTGACTACGATAATCCGTTCCAGCAAAATCGCTGTAGAGGGAAATTGTCATCCAGCGGGGAAAAAACCCATTGAAATGCATTAAAAACTGGTTAATGTGTTCCAGTGGGCGAAATACCTAATCGTCCAGCGAAGATCCTCCATAGGGCGGCCACTTTCCAGTGCCTGTAAAGCGAAAAAGCTGTCTTAAACACAGCGGGGAGCCATTTTGCACAGCGGGTGGCCATTTTGAAACCCAACGATCAGCTGATCGTCATTAAGAGAAAAATCGGTGCCCGAAGCAGGGAACCAGTCAGCGTCAAGCAAAAAAAAGCCCTTTGAAACACCATTTTGCGATCGCATTAACGATCGCAAAAACATCATCGTGAAGTAATTTCATCATATAATGAGGTAATTGTCAAGCGGGGCACCACTGTAGATAAATAGTTACCACCTCGGTGGGAAGGTCACAACGTTCTGTGTCTAATCGTGCTGGCCGCGTGACCACAGAAACTGTCTTCGGACAAATGCTGGCTCCATGGCTTGGAAACGGGAATGAGCACCGCACTCTAGAGTTGGACACGACTGGACTAAATGTCAAGGGGAACCTTTACCTATTCATTAGGTAAAACCTCTTCTATCAATTTAGCACACATGAGGAATCCAAACCCTGATCAATCTGTGGTGATAATTCTCCATAGCACTGTCCAGATTATGAAGAGAGGCGAACAGTGGTGAAATGATAACTTTTTCTGGGTTGGGGTATAGATGGTTAAATGAAGTGACACAGTTGTTCCAGAAAATTATCTATATTCTCATTATTTATTTATTTATTTATTTATTTATTTATTTATTTATTTCATTTCATTTCATTTCATTTCATTTCATTTTTACCCCGCCCATCTAGATTCTGGAATCTACTCTTTGCGGCTTACAAAATATAAAGATAAAAATAGCATTAAAATAACTTTGATGATAAGAGCAGAAAATGTGTTTGGCTATGGCAAAAACGACTATACAGGCCTGACAGATTATTCATATGAGAATAAGTAAATGGCCATTTATGATGGCAACCTGTACTATTTGTTTCAAAGAATTTTAGCCTAGAAAATGTATTTTCAACTTTTCAACAAATATCCTTTGCAATTCCCACAGGAAACCCCAGAAAGGACATACGGGTGAGTTGCACTGTATTTCTTTGCCCATTTAAGAAGAGAGTTACCCAGAGTTATCCTTTACTTCAGGACAGGTTTATCTTTCTCAAAGGGAATCTGCATTTTACATACTTAGCTGCATGGTGCTGAGCTCTTTAACATATCGTCACAACACTTTTTTTGACATCAAAAGGATTAAATTTACATACTTGGATGAAATAATAGGATTTGTGTGTCACCAAGCATTCTTTATTTTATTTGCTGACTTACACACTGTTGGATTTTGTAGCATAAAATGAAAGGCCACTAAATATATGATCCCTCCAATGTTTGTGAAATTTTAGTAATTCAGCAGATGATCCATGCTTTCCTGAACCAGTGTTTATGTGGTATTTGCCAAAATAAAGGCTTTTGACCTTGACAATGGTATGCAAGTACCAAGTACACGATGAAACAGTGCAGAAAATCAGAATAAGAAGCTTTAACATTTGTTAAAACACTGTCCCAAAGCCAACTGCTAGTCTGGTTTATTGCAGAACAGTTAATGTACTCCTGTTCTGGTTGTGACTTCTGTACTGGAGAATCCCCTTCATGGATTGTTGCCTTGTCACGGGGAAGGGGCTTGAGTAATTCAGATAAGCTAAGGACTATGCAGTGCAGGGACACCCAAAACGGACAGGTCATAGTGCACAGTTATGACTAAACGCAATCCCCCTGGAACAGGAAATGGCAAACCACTCCAGTACCTTTGCCAAGAAAACTCCATGGACAGAAACAAAAGGCTAAAATATATGATACTGGAATATGAGCCCCTCAGGTCGTAAGGCATCCAACATGCTACTGAGGAAAAGTGGAGGACAAGTACAAGTAGCTCAAGTACAAGCTGGATTTCAAAGGGGCAGACGAACTAGAGACCAAATTGCTAACATGCACTGGATTATGGAGAAAGCTAGACAGTTCCAGAAAAACATCTACTTCTGCATCATTGACTACGCAAAAGCCTTTGACTGTGTGGACCACAGCAAACTATGGCAAGTCCTTAAAGAAATGGGAGTGCCTGACCACCTTATCTATCTCCTGAGAAATCTATATGTGGGACAGGAAGCAACAGTTAGAACTGGATATGGAACAACTGATTGGTTCAAAATTGGGAAAGGAGTACGACAAGGCTGTACATTGTCTCTCTGCTTATTTAACTTATATGAAGATTATATAATGCAAAAGGGAGGACTGGATGAATCCCAAACTGTAATTAAGATTGCCGGAAGAAATATCAACAACCTCCGATATGCTGATGATATCACTTTGATGGCAGAAAGTGAGGAGGAATTAAAGAACTTCTTAATGAGGGTGAAAGAGGAGAGCGCAAAAATGATCTGAAGCTCAACATCAAAAAAACTAAGGTCATGGCCATTGGTTCCATCCCCTCCTGGAAAATAGAAGGGGAAGATATGGAGAAAGTGACAGATTTTACTTTCTTGGGCTCCATGATCACTGCAGATGGTGACAGCAGCCACGAAATGAAAAGACGCCTGCTTCTTGGGAGGAAAATGATGACAAACCTAGACAGCATGTTAAAAAGCAGATACATCACCTTGCCGACAAAGGTCCGCATAGTCAAAGCTATGGTTTTTCCAGTAGTGATATATGGAAGTGAGAGCTGGACCATAAATAAGGCTGACCACAGAAGACCTGATGCTTTTGAATTGGGGTGCTGGGGAGACTCTTGAGAGTCCCCTGGACTGCAAAGAGAACAAACCTATCAAATGTGAAGGAAATCAACCCTAAGTGCTCACTGGAAGGACAGATCCTGAAGCTGGGGCTCCAATACTTTGGCATCTCATGAGAAGACTCTCTGGAAAAAACCCTGATGTTGGGAAAGAGTAAGGGCAAGAGGAGAAGGGGACGACAGAGGATGAGATGGCTGGACAGTGTCATCGAAGCGGCCAACATGAATTTGACTAAACTCCAGGAGGCAGTGGAAGACAGGAGGGCCTGGTGTGCTCTGGTCCATGGGGTCACAAAGAGTCGGACACGACTTAACAACTAAACAAAAATAACTGTAGAATAGCTGTTTGATTTAGACCAGTTCTTCCCATCTTTTGTCCCCAGATGTTCTTGGACTACATCTCCCAGAAATCCTGGCCAACATGCTAATGGTGAAGGATTCTGGGAGTTTTAATTCCAGAACATCTGGGGACTGAAGACTGAGAACCACTGATTTAAACTGTTTCTTAAAACAAAGTGCACACAATTATCAATAAACTGAATAAATTTTAGAATTTATCCAAGTTAAAGCAAAATTCAGGGAGAAATTCTGGAAGTGCAAAGCAATAAAATGTGAAAAATTAGTTTTCCCCGCCCCTTTTAAAATGATATGGATAGTTAGGTACACTTTTCCACTGCTTTCTGATCTCATGCAGTGTTAGTTGTACCACATTAATCAAGACAGCTTTTGAACATATTATTATTGAGTTAGTAGTTCTTCTGGGGTTTAGTTTTTCAAGTTAAAGTTCACTTTAGCTGCCATTTTTCCACAGTAAATTATGCATAAAACAACTCATAATAGGCAGTACTATCAAAACATGTATAATTTGAAAATAATAGAAAATTTATCAATAGTTTCAAATAAGATAGGTTGTATATAGTAGGATCACTGTATCTGCAGGATCGTTACCCATGGTTCCACTTATCTGCTGCCTAAAAATCATCGTCATCATCATACAAGCACTCCTCACTTCACATCACCTCCCTTCCTTGTCCTCCTCCACCCCCGCCGCCACCATCTTTGCAAATAGTGGCTGGCTTCCCTTCCAGCAACCTAACTTGCTCTCTCTGCCTCTGCGTCCACCAATCAGCTGATCAGTGGGCCATAGGCAGACAGGGCAGGCTAGGCGGCTGGAAGGGACTGTTGCTTGCAAAGGTGGAGGCAGGAGTGGCAGCAGCGTGATCAACAGCATCACAGGCCACTGCAGCGGTGGCAGAGGTGGAGAAGAACAAGGTAGGGAGGTGGCAGGGGAAGTGGGAAGGGGTAGGCTGTGGGGCAGGGCTGGTCAACTTTTTTTTTAGTCTGTCTTTTTAAAAAAAAAACACTGTCAAACTGATTTGTGATCTGGTGAACCAGCCGGAAATTCATGGCTCGTGATTCATCAACCTTGACAAATTGCCATTTTGTTGGTTTGTGCTGATCTCTAAAATCAACACATGATGTCCCCTTTTTTGTACTGCCTTCAACCCCTTCTGGACCTCTCATACCATTTTTTTTCAACTCAAAAAGAGAAGGCTCTTGGAAACCTTCTGAAATTCATAGGGTCCTCATTTATTATGCATTAGAGTGGATCCACATTTCCCTCTCTCAAACTTCATATGAACTACAAGTCGCTGTCAGTTTTGGGGGGAAAAACATTTTTCACATGGCCCATGGCAGGCTCCAGGGGATCAAATTTCCTATGTGGATTCATAAAGGTTTTTCTACATTTGCTTTAAGCTTCCTTGATCAAGTTGAAAATACAATTTTATATACATTGATCAATTTCTATCATGGTGGATAAAAATCAATGATTTTTAAAAAATGATTTCAAGCATGACTTTTTAAAAATGATTTCAAGCATGAAAAATGATTTTTTTTTATTTCAGTTGTAAAAATCCACCTTTTAAAATTTAAATCAGATTCAAATCATGATTTAAATTGATTTGATTTAAATTAAATCCATCCTAACTTGCATTTCTGTCCGTATTTATAATGCTGGAGAAGAATGCAAATATAATGAAAGCAAGTTTACAAATCATTTTCATAGCATTTGAACAAGACATCCAGTAGGGACTTCTATGAAGGACTTACAGTGCATAATAAAGAATCCAAGAAGCTGTCTGAAAATATTGTTCCTTGAGAAACATGTGATGGTGAGTTTTCGGTTAAATCATCAGTTTTACCTGCACCGCTCTGTTCAAAGAATTGTGCATTTGAAGCTATTTCTGTAAGGCAACAGAATACAAACAAACAAAAACAGAAGTTCAAGCTACTTGCAGATCCCAGGATTGTCCCCAGTCAGTCTATAATATGAATAATGAAACCCAAAATTCGTCATTGGTGTAGAGTGTGCAACTTTGTGTCCAAAAAATGTACCTGCTTAAGGATGCTATCTGGTTCATTAGGTAAGGATAGAATGAATACTCCCTGAATTGTTTGTTCTTTTTGATTTAGGTTCCCATGCCAATCGGAGATGAGGGGAGACATAGTCCAGTACATGTACATCTGGAGCGCACCAGAATATGAAAAGTTACATTCACTACATTTCATTAAAAATGTAGTGAATTTTTCATCTATCTTATTCACATATATAATAATACCAGGCCCGTTTAACACCTCCTTTAACACCTGTATTTGAAATAGTGAAATTTCTAGAAAATATGAAAGCAATTTTTCAGAATTTATTAAAGAGGAAACAGGTTGGAGAAAATGAACTATAAGTAAAAAATAAACTATTAGAAGGCGAGAGTATAATGTGGATTAATGGGATTCAGTTAAATCATTGGATGAGAGAACTGGAAAATCAAAATGGGAAATGCCAGGAGTTAATGAAGTTTGAAGAAATTATAATTGAAAGGGGGAAAAATGAGCCAATGAAAGGGATTGTGGCTAAAATTTATATTGTCAGGGGCAGAAAATCATCATGGATCTCTTAAAACATTATGGGAAACAGATTTAGTACCAGCACATGGATTAGTATAAGGAAAAAAAGAATTTTAAAATCCATGTCTGTGAGAGTGAAAATGATTAGAAATTGATTTGGATTTTATTTTTGATTTTGTTAATTAGCCGCAATGGTGCGGCTAAAAAATATTGTAAATAAATAGTTTTTGATTTTGTTAATTATGCTTCTTGAGTTGTGGTAAGGTATGTGTAAATTTTTTTTTGTCTTTTTATGTTGCGTTTGTATAGTGTTGATTTTCAAAATACAAAATAAAATAAAATGCAAAGTATCTTATCTTTTTCACATATATAAGACTACCAGGTCCATTTCTGGGCATCTCGGTTTAAGAAGGATTTCAACAAGTTGTAATGTGTCCAGAAGGGGGTGACCAAGATAGGAAGAGATGTGGAAACCAAGTTCTATCTGGAACAATTCAGTAAGTTGGGAGCCGAAGAGACAACTAAGAGGTCATGTGGCAGTGTTAGTAATGAAAAGTATTAATTTCAGCAACATGCAACATCATCATTGCCAAGCTGGGGAACTTAAACTTTCACCTCTGTTGGGCAGAACAAATAAAGCTGCCTTATATGGAGGAAGATTCTTGGCTTATCTAGCTCAGCGCTGTTGACAGTGACTGTTGGGGGCTCTTCAATATTTTAGGAAAGGTTCATTGTCAGTTCTACACTGGACACAAAGGAGTAAAACTACATGCAAAGTGGTCTGCCTATCAGCTAGGGATCTTCCCTAGTCTCCTGGGATCACATATTTTAATATTATTAAGTACGATAGAATCACATGATATATGAAAGTGGCAGGCACAATATTTGGATAAGATAAAAACAAATCAGCTGAAAAACATTGTTCCTTGGATGATGCGGACTGAAGTAGCCCAACACCATCTCCACCCTGAACCTATGTAGCTTATATCACAGATAGACAAACACATAGGTAAATGGGGAAATGGCAGAATTTGATGTCTGCCAAATGAATAGAATTTGATATCATGGGATCGTAGAGGATCTGTGAAGGACCCAAAAGGTCAGGGTATCCAGCTTCCTCCGGCAGAAGGACATCTATAGCATCATCTCCAGTGAAGGAGGGTTCACTGCATTCTGAGGTTATCCCTTGTATTCTTATAAAGCTCTTACTGTTGGGAAGTTCTTCCCAATATCAGCTGAACTCTCCTGTAATCTCAAACCACTAGTTCAAATCCTACTGCCTGGAGCTGTGAAAAAAGCTTGTTCCGTCTTCCATGTGACAGGTCTGGGGGGGGAGGCATCTTCAAATGTTAGAAGATAACCTCTCAAGTTTCTCCAGATACATCCATCTCCCTCAATCTTTCCACATATAGCTAGGTTTCCAGACTCTTAGTCTTGACACTCTCTAGATATGTTCCAACTTGTTAATAACCTTCTTAAACTATGATGCTCCAAACTGGGCACCGTACTCCAACTGTGATCCAACCAAAGCAAAATAGAACAGTACTATTGCTTTCCATAATCTAGACATTGTATTTCTGCTCATGCAGAATTGCATTAACTTTTTTTACTGCTACATCCCACTGTTGACTCATGTGGTCTACTTAAGACCCTAAATCTATTTCAGGCATTATCTGTACTACATTTGTTCATCTGACTTTTCATTTTCCATTTTCCATAATCTAGACATTGTATTTCTGTTCATGTAGAATTGCATGAACTTTTTTTTTTACTGCTACATGCCACTGTTGACTCATGTGGTCTACTTGAGACCCTAAATCTATTTCAGGCATTATCCGTATTACATTTGTTCATCTGACTTTTCATTTTCCCTTATTGAAATAGATTTTGTTTTTGGTTTTTTTCGGCCCTGTTCTCTGATCTGTCAAGGTCCTCTTGAATCCTGATTTGGCCTTCTAAAATATTAGCTATCCCTTTTAGTATGACGTAACCCACAGATCTGATGAACATCTCCTCTGCTCCTTCATTCAAACCATTTTAAAAATGGTCTCCACAACATCTGGCCTAAGACAGAACCTTCTGAGGCCTCTAGTCCTCACGGACCTCACCTGTTCTTAAAGAATTTTCAAAGATTATAAATGGAGGCTTTGTTATGACATCTGAAGTTTCCTTTAATACCCTTCAATGTAGTTCATCTGGCCCTGGAGACTTGAATGCATTTAAAATACTGTAGATAGGTGTTCCCATCACCACTTGAGCATTAGTGTCCTCACTGCAATTCACAGGGGACCAAGAGTAGAAGAAAACCTGATTTTATTCTGTGTGATGCATTCCTAGCTACTGACAAAGCTCACTCACATCAAGGTGTGTTGTGATGCATCTGTGTGATGCATTCCTAGCTACTGTCAAAGCTCACTCACATCAAGGTGTGTTGTGCAAAGAGTGTGGGGAGAGACCTGATGCATGCAGGTCCTTGGGCTGTTTGGGTCAAGAAGTGTGGCATGGCAGCAGAGTGACTTGTGAGCCTTCCTGTTGCATTAGTCCTGACGGCAGCAGTAGAAGGCTTGGGACAAGGCCCCCCTTATAGGCAAGTGCTCTGCAACTCCCAGCAACAGCTGAAGGCCTGGAAAAACTCCCCACATGTCATATGTGCTATAGGTAAGGTTGCCCAGGTTATGCGCGCTAGCAAGGGCAGCAAACAATGTGGCTGCTGCTTGAATTTTGCTGTCTGCCGACCATCCAAAAATGTTTCTTTCTTCAGTTACGTGTTACCATATTCCTTGATTCACCAGGTCCTATGTGCGTTCAGGGCTTACTTACTAGGCATCCTCTTGTGCCCAAAAATATGATTTACTGGTCCTGAAGCAGTTCTGGATCCCTCTCCTAGCCTTGCCTGTTCCAACTCAGTGACAGCAAAATGACCTGTGTCTTGCCTTCAGATTTAGCCTGAAAATCTCAAGGAATGATATGCCACAGGATGGCCCATTTTACCCAGATTGGGCAAGCACACAGCTGATCTGGTGAGTTTTCTGACTGAAATAAATAGTATTTCCCTTTGAATTACAGTAATTATGTCAAAAGGTGCCCTCATAGCTGTATATTAGCATATGTAAATGTTATGTAAATCCAGGACCCCTTTTCTACCACACCCCCATAATGCACTTTCTTTTCTTCTATACATGTGCTACACCTGAGCCTTCATTAAAGCCTCATTTCCTTCTCCAAGATACATTCTGGCCAGAACATAGAAGTTACTTTTCAGATTATTATTTCTAGAGGCCCCCACTTGGCGTGACTGATAACTATACCAGTCAGCAAATTTTAGGAGCTGTAGCCAAAATTTTAGGAGCCCAAACCCTAATCTGGGAGGAATGAAAAAGGGACTTTGCTGGAGGTGAGGAAATATTTTTCACCTGATGTTGAGGAACTGCTACTCCCATTATCCACCATCAAGCTTGCTAAAGCTGATGGAAGGTGAAATTCAAAACATCTGGTGAGCTTTGTTTCACAAACCTGAATCATGCTTATTTAGTATACTAGCCAACCCTCAGAGGGATTTGGGCTTGGCTAATATAAAAAGTCCATTCTTTCCAAACAAGGGGACTCATTTCCAATTCCTCTTCATTATGAAACCCAGTATTATCATAGGTTTTAACCACTATGAAGCACTGAAAGAGCCAAGAACATGCCCTGAAAAGCTCAGTAATACATCAAAACTTAAAAGCACTTCCAAATCATCGAGAACCATCCATGTGGATAGCCCCTATTCCTTGAAGGGGAAAAAAAATAGTCTTCTCGAGATGAAAAAGTTTTGTTTTCGTTCCATGCTGGGCCTTTGTAACATACTTATTCTCCTGATCAGCTATCGAGACTTCTTCAAAGCCACTGAATTAACATTTAAGTCAAACCTTTTAATGTTTCCTGGACACGGCATGCTGTCACTTTCCATCTTTGAATTCTAAAGAGGATTGGGAGTAAATAAATAATGCAGTAGACATACCGCTTTGGTGAAATTTGTTCCCAGAGAAGAACTTACTCAGCTCGGTGATTATAGGGATCCTTTTGGAGAGAGCCTGTGGTGCTTGATTCCCAGATGCCTCTCCAGTGACCACCTCGGCTGTTCTTGCAAGGAAGGTGAGGGAGGGAAAAAGAAAAAAATTAGCAAAAAAGCAAAGCAAGCTGCTTATATACCACCTCATAGCACTTCAAGCACTCTCTGGGCGGTTTACAAGTTAATTATGCAGGCTGCACACTGCCCGCCCCCAGCAAGCTGGGTACTCATTTTACCGACCTCGGAAGGATAGAAGGCTGAGTCAACCTTGAGTCGTCTACCTGGGATTGAACCCTGGGTTGTGAGCACAGCTTTGGCTGCAGTACAGCAGTTTAACCACTATGCCATGAGTGAGTTCAGAAACTGTCAAAAAGCACTTTTTTGGATACCATTATTGCTGAAGACAGAAAAAACGCATCCTTTTGTTCTGTATTGTTTTTCCAAGCTTAATTATATTGAAAAGTTTATGGCATTACAAATGGAAACCTTTCCCTCCAGCTGTTCCTTTAAATCACAATGATATCAATCACATCCTTTGTTGAAAAGGATGTGTTCAGTCTGCATTTGTAAGCAAACTGATGATTATTGCCCTTCCCTAATTAATATGTTGACCAGAATACAGTTTTTCTTCAGACTGCAAAGTTCTTAGCTCAATACACATATGGGGGGGCAATGAAAATAAAAATACATGGAATACAGGGAAATACATGGAATAGACTTGTGGCTGGAGGATTCTAGGGATTTGAATCAAGAAGGCTACTTTTCCAAGTTCTGGCACTATCAGAGGGCACATACGGACTAGCCTTTTTGGTGGGGGCTGGTGTGATCTAAATACGGTCAGTTGAGGTTGGGGGATGAGTTATATGCCAATTGGTGTGATCCTGGTGTTCAAATGTAAAGGCTGCATGTAAATTCTCAAAACTTGGGGGTGTGAATGAAAAATGGGAATTTTGTAAGCCACACCAAAGCTTGCCATGCCTTCATCTTTCTTTGGACAATCAAAGTCCTGCAAGAATTAATTAATTGTTGAGATAGCCTGTCTCATAATGAATGGGTAAATTGGCAAGACTTCCTAATATCTCTAGAGGGCTATGGGTCCTGTACACCCACAGCTTTCCTCCAGTTTACCATTCCATGCCCTTCTCGTGTTCCCTTTTTTGTGTCTGCTGACATCAGGTGTTAGAACAGCAAGGGCGACAGATGATGGTGAGACTTGGTCATCCTTTGTGAAATGCAATATTTATTTTCACTCTCAAAAGGAAACATCCTGCTGTTGTCCCAGGACCCACTGAATTAAAGCATAAAATCCATAATATTCATATTTTCTGTTGGGTGTGTGTGCAAAACCCCTCCGGAATATACTTTTAATATATTATCCCTCTTCTCTTTAAATTCATCAGATTTTTCTCTCAAGTCAAGATTTCCAAATCCTTGATAAATATAATGTGCTGGCAATCCAGTCCATTCTAGATCCTGTAAACAGTATTCTAATTGTGTGTCTGGAGGATTGTATGAAATAAGAAAAATAATGGTGAAAATGATTGGCATAATTTATTTTTATTGTTGATTGCAACATGCGGTATGTATTGCTCTGTTTATGTGTCTTTGAATATGAAAATCAAATCAAGACTTAATGTTCCCTTTCTTGATTTAAATCCAGGAAAGCATTTACTACATTTAGTTCTCCATTCAAAATGCTAATGAAGAAAACAAGGTCAGACTACTAAGGTGGTAATAAATTGGATTAAAAATTGAATTGGCTGTATAAGCAGGAATTTGGGTGGTATTAAACATGTTGCTAGGATATTTATGTCACAAGATAAAAGAATTAAAAAGAGGTTTTGGAGTATTTGTAGACAAATACTATTCTACAGGATACAGGGGAAACGTTAATGCAATAGTTAATCCAATTTATATGTCAACGAAGCCTACGGTAGTCACACAGTGAATTAGAAAGATGAACCAAGGAGATGAAAGTGTTTTATACATGCTATAAGAAGTTACTACTGAAGGCAGAAGAGCTGTGCACTCCTCAACGTCAAATATTATCAATTAATATTAGCTATTCTATGGGTTTTAATTACATCAAAGTGCCCATGCAACTGACTAAAATCAATTTTAGTGGGATAAAATGAAATAAAAAATGCAACTGCACCCAGTAAGGATTGATGAGGATTCTACTGTTTCTGAAAACAAAAACAAAACACAAAAACAAAATAAGTAGCATATAAGAAAATTATATGAGAAGGGAAAGTGGTATCAACCTCAGCTCAGCAGTACTCAAACTTTAGAATTAAATATTTTTGGTTAATTGAACTAGATCAGAAACTCTCAACCAACAAGGACTGAAGGTTAAAAGATATTTTTTAAAAAGAATAGAGAAGCTCATTTGTTTAAGCTGAGAGGTTACTGTTTTGGGCTTTATGGCTGAGGTTGATCTTACTCCATCGTAGCAGACCTTTGGGTACCTATATCCTGTCACTGGTTCAATCATTCCACCCATCTTGTCACTTTGCCATTGTCTGGTAATTAAGAAAAAAATTACATAGTAAAGAGTATCCTGAATGTTGACAACAGCAATAGCAGCAGTCAAGATGGTTTACAGAATGTCCTCTTATGGTTATTACCGTTCACAAAGTGAAACCAAACAAAGGAAAATCCCAGAAGCAGACTACTTTTTTAATCAGTTAACCACTTCTCACCCAAACAAAAAGCATTGTCAGAGCTGTTTTTAGACAAGTGTGAAGCGAGTATCCTGTAGAGACCCCCTTCACTGCTGCCATAGGTATTATCCACATTCTGGCTGCCTTTTGCTATGTAAAGTTTGACATCCTTTTTCCTGCTGTCAACATGGGCATGATACTGTGTAGCAATATTGAGCCATTTCCTTGCATTCTGAATTGTGAATATAGAAGCACAATATCCCACATGCATAAACCAGAGGTTTCCTTGAAGAATTGAATTTTTTAAATTCTATGAAAAGTCTATGCCAAAAGACAGTAGCTAGAAACAGAGTGAATTCAACACTAAGTGAGAAGAGAAAGTTTTTGACAGAGAGAACACTGAAACTTCATTTACACAGATGATGAGGGGCAAGAAAGAAGAGTATTCACAGGAAAGCCAGTAAATTCAATTGGAAAAATAAGAGTGAAAGCGGTTGAATAAGTTATGGTTCAGCTTTGGTAAGCACAGCCTTGCCAATACAAGGGGTGCAATGTATTATTTTCTCCTTCTCCACCCTTCATTTGCTGACTGCTCCTTATAGCCATTTATTGCTGTATTTCTGTGCTAGATCTGAGAAAGACAAAGAGACTGACTTGCAGGAATAAGGAATGTCTTTATTTCCAAAAACCAGGGAGAAATTTAAATAGGGATAATTTATGACAACTACTGGCCACTGATAGATCTATCTTATAAAATCTATTTGGCAGATCAAGCACCTCCAACCCTATTGTATTATTTGATTCAAAATACAATGAACTAAATCCAATTGTTAGCAGATGTAGGCAATAAACGTGACTTGTAATGTCAAGACTACTGGAAATAGTTTGGACAGTTCTGAAGTCAGGCCCGTTGCTGCTAAATGCCAGATCATGGTGGGGGTGGTTGGTGGGTGGAGCCATCCAGGACTTGATCTTGCATGAGCATGCCAATCTGGGTTGCATTACAGAGAACGTGGTTGGATGAGGCTGGGGGTATTAATTTTACTCAGCTGTGTCCACCAGGGGTTTCTGTGCAGTAGGAGGCAAGAACTGTTGAGTCAGCTTTGTCAGGAGTGTCTCAGAACTTCATGTCCTCCATGATCATCATGGGTCTGTCCCAAATGGTATCTTGCCTCCATTCATACTGCAGGGCACACTTTAGAACTGGTTTTCTGTTCTGGGGTTAATGTTGGTGATCTGGATGTGGAAGAACTCTGTGCAGTTCCATTGTCATGAACAGATCATTACCTGGTATGGTTTAGATTCACTGGAACTCAGAGACTCTGCAGTGGTGGGGAAATGATTAAGATAATCTACTCCAGGAGGTACGATGGTTTCCTGATGGCTCTTGAGGAATTTCCTGTAACCACCAGGGATGATTCTGTTGAGGCCCTGGTTTGGTCACCTTGGTGGATCACCTATGCCAGGAATTGGACAGGGGGAATGTATCCCTGTAGGTTCTGCTAGGCCTCTCAGTGGCATTTGATAAGATCAACCATGGTATCCTTCTTGGCTGTCTCTCTGGGACGGGACTTGGAGGCACTGTTATAGGGTTGCTTCAGTCCTTCCTGGAGGGGAGAACTCAGAAGGTGCTGCTGGGGAACTCCTGTTCAACAGTCTGGTCTTTGGCCTGTGGTGTCCTTCTGGGCTCTGTTTTGTCTTCATGTTGTAGATGTTATTTCACATCTACATGAAACCACTGGGAGAGGTTGTCTGGAGTTTTGGAGTTTGGTGTCAAGTATGTGAATGACACCAACTTTATCTTTTCTTTCCATTTAAATCCAATGAAGCAGTTTCACTTTTAGGTCAGTATCTGGCATCAGTAATGGACTGGATGAAGGTGAATAAACTGAAACTCAATCCAGACAAAACAGAGGTGCTTCTGGTTAGTTGAAAGGCAGGTCCCAGAATGGTATCTTGTGCTGGGTGGGATTGCACTCCCTCTGAGAACACAGGTGCACAGCTTGGAGGTGCTTCTAGATGTGTCTCTTTACCTGGATGCCCAGTTTTTTTGGGGGGGGGGCAAGAGTGCCTTTGCACAGGTAAAAACCTGTTCTTGCAGAGATCTGATCTGGCCACAGGGACACATACCTTAGTTATATCTCGGCTGGATTACTGTAAAGCACTCTATGTGTGGCTGCCTTTGGAAAGTGTTCAGGAACTTCAGTAGGTTCAAAATGCAACAGCCAGATAACTGAGTCTTGACACAATCCCCCTGTTATGGCAGGTTCACAGGTTCATGGCTGCCAATCCATTTCCAGGCAGAATTCAAAGTGCTGGTTTTAACCTGCAAAGTGGCCTGAGTCCAAGCTATCTCAAAGAACGCGTCTCCGTTTATGAGCCTGCCTGGGTATTAAGATCATC